ATTAACGATTTCAAATATCTAACCTTACTTGAAATTGATTAAAAATGGTACAGTTCATTGATTTTATTCACGCACTGTCGTGTTTTTTTAACTATTATTTTTTTAATCTTCTAACTGGCAAGAGAAAAAGCAATGCGGCGGATAACAAAAAATAAAACAATTCCTTTTTATTTTTTTGTGGTATATATATGCATTTTTATCGACACATTAACTGGTTACTAATATAAATGGTGACTATAAACACATATGGTAACTTTAGATATACAAAATATATAATTTGTAGTACGGTTTATATATGTACCTAATATCTATATAAGTATTAAAAAATTTCTCATGCACGCTTCCTGAAATTGTTCCCATGCTAATGAATGGTAATCATGTGCAAATTAAAATAAAGCAGTTGTATTAATTTAAAAACAATTATTATTGGACGTTGTCCTTGCTCGTACATCCCAGGAAATGTTCCTGTACGACTTGTATTGCTTTACACCGAGGCAGTTTCCGCAAAAACTCTGCGAATGTCGACTTCTTTTTATACCTCATGTTATTGGCGTGATATGGCAGAATTCAGGCCACTACAATAAATATTACTTCCGAAGAATTAAATAAAAATTGTTAAGTACTTTAAGTTCAAATTAATGTGACCCTACTCAGTGATGAGAAACGGACACTAGATTACATCACTTCATACGATGTGAACTTATCATTACTTACGATTAAATGAGTTTATAAACATTGAACATTATTGTTTGATGACAAAGATCAATAGCAAGATGAATATTAAAGATGCAAGTTTTAGTAGTAACATATAATATTTTACTGTTTAGCTACACAGCGTTTTTGCATGAACACTTAATATAATTTACTTTAATGACTTTTAGACCCGTTATCTGCAATTTCTGCCAAAAAAAGTGGTCCGACTCCTCGTCCTCAATTACCTCTCCCATAAAAATATGAGAGAATATTTTGAAAATGGAAAAAGTAATTTTGTTTGGAGATTGCACATAATGACTCCTTCCAACTCGAAGCGGGGTGATTGACCTCGTTGTAGTTTTCCATCCCGACACGCGAGTTGTACGGCAACGCACGACACACGCTCCAGAGTGACTCTCAAAGCTAATATTGATTAATTGTATGCATAGGTGCTGCTAGCTACTAACAAATAGGTACATACTTAAAACGTGTCTTTGAAAGCAACAATTACTTTTGTTATTTATTATAAAAGTGACATTCATTACGCATAACTTAATAACAGCTGGTAATTATGATTCAAACTTTAGCATCAATTAAAGTTTAAAATTTAATTGCAGTGCAGTAATTCTTTATTTCAAATGTTAAGGGCAATTGGCAACAACGGATGTGTTCCGGTCAAGTTGACACGATTGTGTTCCATTTATTTTAAATTATTTTATTATCTGTTGGTAAAGGCGAGTGCGTAACCGGACATTATGTAATGAACCTTTAATGCTATTGTAGGAACGGACTTAGTACGTGCAAAGACTTTCCATTTTACATTTTACAAAGCTTTTGTTTAAATTTAAATGAAAACGTCTAGTGAATTGTTAAACAAGATTCGCAGAACTATTATAAATTCCTGCAAAAATCATTTGCTGCGTGCGTTTGCTATCCGCCATCTTAATTGACTTGGTAAGAACGTTACGTTTAAAATAAATCTTAGATATTCTAAACTATTATAAAATTATATCGCATGGTAGGTACTTAAAGTTTCATTATATCTACACAATTTATTTTATTATTAATTTATAATAAAAAAAATTACCTAAATAAAATGTTAATGTAAGAAAATAAATATTCTCAGCTATTTTAAAATAAATGCATAATAATCAGCACTCATAAAATTTGTTCGTAATATAAATAAGAGAGCATGTAAAATTGCATTTCAAATAAAAAACAGGGTTCAGTAAACAAAAGCACTCGTTATGCGAGAATAATTTGAAAGATAACTTAAATGACTCTTGCGTTACATTGCATTGAATGACACAGAACTGGAATACTTATGTACGTTGTTACTTCAATCATAATTTGACAGACGCATTTGGTAAAAACAATCGCAATTTAAAAATCATATGTTTTTTATCTTTTACATAGTTTGTTTTCCTCGTACGAGGTGAATAGACTTGAAGAACTTTAACAATTCAACGCAGATTGTAAGAATAAAATAATAAATAGCTTTGCCGGATACCGCTAATTGGGGATCATTATTTTGCCAGTTTCGAATCGACCATAAAAACTTATTACTTAGTACTTGTAACGCATATTTTTATTTTATAAAACGCAGTTGGTTGGTCCTGCAAGTTGTTATTCCTTTAATTATTCAACGAATATAATATTATAACAATATTTCATACTATTTAGTGTTTACAATGAGCGGTGTTTTCACACGAAGGGATTTCTTACAAATAATACGAATACAAAAACAGTGATTTCCCATTTTCGTACGAATTATGTCAAAATAGATGTCAGTTAATGTTACAAAAACTTTACCTGACATTGTAAAACATGCCTTACACAACTCAACAAAAAAGTTAATTTTCTTTACTTGACCACATTTTGAAAAGGATACCTACAAACAGAATTAGAAACTATTCGATAAATTATGTTGTTGACAAATCGACCAAAACATCAAAAAAGTTATACCTACAAACAAAGTCATTTCTTACATAGTTAATTACAGATACAATAAAAATTTAATCCAACTGCGGTTTTGGTGATATTAATTAGTCTTCTACTTAGTTTAAAAAATAACTTTTTATGGTATCGCTACCTATTTCAAAAACAATTAAGAAATTAATTATGAATTTATTCTAGAAGTTTGTTACTTTTACCTATTTAATTCGGTATCTTCATACCAGTAATAAGCTGAATAAAATGTATTACAGGGGGTTTCACGGAAAATACTGTCATTTATTCTTTGGTTAACATTCAGAATTGACCCCAAAATAAGTTAGGCAAAAGAAAGGAAAGTAATAAATTATAAACTTAGTTTCAAAACTAAAGTTTGTTATGATATGACATTATATATAATGGCTAAATAATATCATGTATTACGTATGACTCAATGTTGTCATATCGAGGAATACGAAACAATTGCGTTATCTGGAGTCGCGTGGAGGCTTGGCTCCTCGTTCCACTGATAACGAAGATTGCCTCGCTCTGCGTCGCGCAGACTCCCCGATAATGAACATAGACAGTACAAAGGTCAAATCAATTATAACATTCAAATAAACTCCGCAATTCGGTTAATTCATAGCAATTATTAAGTATGATAAAAACACTAATATCAAAACAACCAATTAGATTCAGCTTCGGGAAAACATTTTGACTAATTTGTATAAACAAAACTAACTTGTTGAAAGGGTATTGTTTATTAATTAAAGTCTTCCTTATGTTGTAAATAAAATACGGATGTAGCTACTTGATGTCGGAAAGCTGTACATAACATCGACGCAATGTAAATATTAGTCAAGTCACTTTTAAATAAAGATGATCATTTAGTATTTAATGAATGACGGATCTTACAAAAAGTTGCAAAAGTATACATACAAAAACTCGCTTTTTGATTGCTCGTGAATTAACACATGTGTCGTTCTCGTGCAAAACACACGTGTTTCTAGATATGATGATATAAAGACAGAGAGGTTTGCATTATTTAATCACATGCGAACATTTCATGCACTGAACTGTAAACATGGCCATGAAATGTCATGTAAACAATGCCCTTTATTATACAATAGTAAATTGTACATTTATAGAAAATGCATTACTTACATTCTTCTTTGATCGCTGGTGATATATTTTTATACTGTACCAGTGATTTTAAGAACTCAAGAAAAATATTTGGTGTCTATTAAAGACAATTGTAAAAGTCGATTAATTAAAAAGTAGTTCTTTAGATCTTTAAAAAACATTTTTTGTATACTACGACAAATATTACTATATGAAAATGAATGTAAATGATTATATTTAATTTGTAATGGTAACGGAAAATTTATACCTTGTAGCTAAAAAAGTAGGTATAAGATTATTTTTAGGCAGGTATCTACATTATATTATTTGATATTTTTTGTAAATTTAAGATCAGACTAAAAACACGCCTTATCTTACATTAATAAGCAGGTTTAAATGTAACAATTTATCATACGATCTTTTTAATGAATGTAAGTTGATGCCATTAACATTTAAATTTGGATTTCAATTAATAAATTATTATTTTTCCAAAGAATTAAGAGAAAACTTGAAATCTTGTTATGGGATAGGTACCAACCATTAATTAAAACCAAAATCTACATTGAACATGTTGATAAAAAAATTATAATCTTTTTGTAATTCTAAAAGCCTGATATACGAGCTTTTAGTAAAGTGATCAGAGATTTTTTTTAATTTATTTAAGAATTCTTTGTTTTGTTCGAGAGAATAGATAGCTAAGCGTGCTCTATCATTGAAATCATAGCTTACCACCAGCCGAGGTGGTAGAGGAAATAGACAGTCTATAAAATATTTAAAACATCTCAAAAGGAATACCTATTGTCTAGTTGACCTTTACGATATAGGGTCACCCTGATTACAAAGTACACATAACGAGAGGACAATTGGATGTACATCTCTTCGTTCTTCGGGGAAATACAAACACAACATCATTTACTTAGTTATCAATCACAAAAAAACTGGTTATATTTAGGTTATCGATTGGCCACCCTGTATCTACATATATTGGAACGCGTGATAGCTCAAATGACCCGAAGGTGATCTCTTATCCGTTTTTTATAGACGGACATTGTCCAATTTTCGGGGTTACGGATTTGACACCCGCGTTTGATATAAATATAGGTACCTATTGAGACTATTGATAGGATTCACCGTTCTGAATATTTCGCAGTTTTAAAAGAGTAGTGAGCATGAAAAGTAGTGCGTGGTCAAAAAAATTGCAATTCTATTGTTTTAAAAATTAAATATTTTTACTCATACATATTTCTATCGACATGTCTTGCAAAAAAGAATACATTAATAATAACAACATAACTGTTATTTGTAAGTAAACGTTATTAAACACGATTTCGTTACCTAATTTAATTCTTTAATTTATTATTAGGTATTGTAGTAATGTTTCACATACTTATAAATGCTGCGTTTTTCTAAATTTAAACCATTATTATTTAAATTGAATTAAATAATGAAAATGTTTTTGTTTGCTGAAATAATTATTTAATATAATCACTCAGTGGTACAAATTATAAAAAAAACACAAGTTGCATTCTTGATAATTTATAAATATTAAACAGAATTTAAATTAAATTTCAGTGTTGGAGACTGAAAAGAAAGACGTCGAGAACCAATCAGTGGAGGAGGACCCTCTGACGAAAGCCATCGGAGCTCTTGGGAAATGGCAAATATGGATATGCTTCGTCGTGTTCCTTGTCAAGTTCCCAGTGGCCTGGCATCAGATGAGCATCATATTCCTCGCACCACCCATGAACTTCACATGCGCCGCAACACAAGTTGAAGACCATTTTGATAACGTATGCCATGCTAACTGCACGGACTTTGAGTACGACCGCAGTATCTTCAAAGAAACGATCATATCACAATGGGACCTGGTCTGTGACAGACAATGGCTGAAGAACCTCACGCAGACAATCTTCATGCTCGGCATCCTTGTGGGAAACATGATGTTCGGCCATCTCTCCGACAGGTTGGTGCTATTTATTGAATCAAGTCAATTGCTCTTGATATAGATCTTCGAGCAATTGACACATCCTGTACTTATTGCTGCACATCACTGTGACTGGGGCCCGGATGAGATTACTTTAGCGAATCTTGTTTAAAGGGTTACTGGGATATTATGTATTCAGTTCGTTAAAGGTGCATTTAAGTGCACAAAGATAAGATTCAATATCGATGTGAGAACTTCGCGGTTGATCTGATAAGGGTAGTATAATAGATATCTAGTGGTGATAGGTCAATACCACGTTCCCAGATAACCCGTGTCTGGCTAGAATCCTTGAAAACTGCTTCCTATGTAACTACACGCATTAGTCACGTGTAACTGGTGTGAGAAGTTCCTCTTTGTCTTGTCTCCAGTTAAAATAAACCTGATCAATATAAAAGAGATATAAAATTTATAAAATTAAAACGAGTTTAGATTTTTTATCTATGTATTATTTTCAAATCGCGAATTCTTGATTGCCTTGATAGTCTAGCGATTGTTAAGCATTAGAGGCTGGCTTCAATTGTCACATTGGTTTTTTTAAATGTATTTTATTCCGTCTGATGCATGTCACAGACGTATACAATGTATTATGTAGTTCTAAAAATAAAGAACAGGAAGTCATGAGCTCCCCTAATTTAAATAATTATAATAACGCTTATTATTGTTTCATACCGAATGCAATCAAAATTATTTTTATGTTTTACAGATTTGGACGCCGTAATCCGTTCCTAGCAGCAGTATTCCTGCAACTGATATCAGGAGTGACCACCGCATACTCGGTCAACTGGTACATGTTCACCACTCTGCGATTCTTCCTCGCCGTGGCCACAGGAGGCACAATGGTCACCAGCTTCGTTCTAACAATGGAACTGATTGGAGCTAAATACAGAGACACCGTAGGAATAATCTAACGCTACCCCTATTCGGCTACTACCTTCGGGACTGGAGCACCTTCCAGTTAGCGATCTCACTGCCATCTGTCTTGTTCTTGAGTTACTATTTCTTACTCCCTGAATCGCCAAGATGGCTTCTAACCGCTGGTAGAACAGAGGAAGCGGTCAAAATCATGGAAGTAGCGGCGAAAAGGTGAGGCCAATAGAACATGTTTATTGTACTTTTACGTAAATACCTACTTATAATGTATGTAATGAGACACACCCGCTATTAAAAGAGGATTTACTTATGTAAGAAAGCACAACATCAATTGGTTTACAAGTGCTGAGAAAGTTAAAGTCCCACTTTCGCTTTCATTCAAAGTAATGCGAAATGCCAGATGCTTTACAAATACACAAGCAGTCGCGAATTTTCATCAATATGATAAAAATGTCGTAAATTTACTTGCGCATAATTGGTTACTGGTCGTAACGTAGAGAGCATGGAAAGGAATGAAAATTACATTTTTATCGTGTATCCGCTAGATTTCGGTTAATTCAAAGTAAGTAGTCTTTTACTACTACGTATTTTAATACGGTTAAGATTTTTTTAATTTTTAACGTAATCAGTCTTCCTCAAATTGAGTTAGGTAAAGATTGCCAAAGCAGCTCATTATACTGAGATAATACGAAATGTCCCTCAATTCTAATTGACCTACTGAACTTTTTTAGATAATTTAACATTCTGCAGCGCGTGCCATTTACTAGTTCACTCTTGAGATTATCTTAGAATTAATCCCAAGAACTTACATAATTCTACACGAAGATGAACGAATGAGATAAAAGTTTTACAAGCGACAATTGGTGGTTACTTTTCTATTGTTTTTGTTTTTAATTTAGAACACATTGCCCCACACTAGCATTATCCCGTGTCTCGTGGGTGGGTTTACTGTCATAGAAAATAACATACACATGATACCCAGAACCGGAGTTACAAATTGCGAATCATACGAAGAGTTGTTCCATCATATATAGGTACCTAGGTGCAGATAATCGCAAATCTCTTGTGGCTCAAATCCAACGAACTAAACTTTATTCTTCCCTTTAATTTCAGAAATGGAAGGCCAACAGAAGGCATCGCAGCCTCCTCACAGAAGGTTGTAGTTGACAATGATGCTAAAACAGAAGAGCATGCGTCGTTTATAGATCTGTTCCGTACGCCGCGACTGCGTACGCGCACCATTGCTATCTGCTTCAACTGGTTCGTCTGTGGACTCTGTTTCTTCGGCGTCTCACAGTACATGAGCCATATTTCTGGAGACATCTTCACCAACGTTGCTATCTCAGCTGCTATACAGGTAATTTTAATCTTATAATAGTACCTACTTGGGTTCTGCTTCAAAATCATCACGAGGTTTTTTCTATTCTCTCCATGTCTTCTTCTTGGCATTTCCCCAATCAGCTTTGTGGGACATTTAGTCTTTACCAGGTTATAAGTCGAGATACTTTTTAGAACTTCTAGAGTTTCTGTAACGATTGTTCGTGTATGTTCTCATGACAACCAACATGACTATGTAATTAGCTAGCAAATGTCCCTGACGAACAAAAAAAGGTTATACGAAATTAAAAAAAACTCTTCACCTACATTTTTATCTTAACTCATTAATTATAATAGTTTACATTATTCGTGTCACTTCACAAGCGATAAGTATAGCAAGTGTACTGGAAATTATTTGCAGTATTATCGGTACCAGTTTCACCCAAAACCATCCCGTAAACTCTAGGTATTAAGTTATCTTTTAGATAGTCGTAAAAAACACGATATATCCAGTTTAAATCACGCTCTGTAATAACACTGAACACGCTCTCATTAGTCACTGATCAGACTTTACTCCTTAAGTTAATCTTCAGTTTAAACGGCCTTTTAGCATTTAGGTATCTCTATTATAAATGCAGATTTCTCTGTTTTACTTACCTCTGTTACATAATAATGTTATTGCACATACAAAGTTAAAACATAAAACTTATTTCTTTTCTTGTAAAAAACGAGTGATAAACTAAAAACGATTTACTATTCGCATAATTTGGAAGTAACAACTTTCCACAAAAGCGTTCAGAGGCAAGAAAGCATAAGATCGTTATCATTATTATCTGTATAATTTCTTACGATCTATATTTTCTTCTCCAGGTGCCAGGAACCCTCATATCAGTCTACACAAACAAAGTTCTAGGACGGAAAATCACCCTGATCAGTGCGAACTGCATCACTGGAATCAGCTGTCTCCTCATCATCGTCGTCCCTCAGTCTGGAGCGAGTCACTTAACACTCGGCTGTACCGGACTCTTGGGAATGAGCATATCCTTCGCTACCGTCTATTTATACGCAGGGGAGCTTTTCCCAACTGTTGTCAGAAACTCAGGAGTAGGACTGTCATCGACAGTTGCCAGAATAGGATCGATGGTGGCTCCCTTCGTTGCCACTCTATCACACACAAGCGCTTGGCTACCACCTCTAGCGTTTGGAATTGTGCCATTAATAGGCGCTGGACTCTGTATGCTCTTACCCGACACACGTGGTAGGAAACTACCCGATACATTAGAAGAAGGTGAAGCGTAAATTGTTGCTATGGCTTTAACAAGTATTCCTTTATATTAAAATCTCAGTGTGATGCATGAAAGTTTTTCAATGTGTGTGTGCGAGCGCATGTTACTTTATATGATACTAATTTAAAGACTATTTAATGTAAGTGCTCTCGACAATTTGTTGCAGATAATTATTTGTATTTGCAAAATGTATTTATGACGACAATAGGTTAAGTTTAGACTAGAGATGGTCTATTTTTATAGGCTGTGATAAAGCGTGAATTTTGTTATGAAATAAAATATTATTACGAATTGTGTATAAAGGATGGTTTCATTTATTTCTCAAATTATTATTGTGCATCGGACATTAATGTGTCAACATGAGGTAGAAGAAAATAATATGCTTGATTGCAACCTTATCTATTACTTGAGCTAGACAAATACCATTCTATACATTTATTAGAATATGACAATTACCAGGCGTAGCCTTCATTTAAGAATCAAATTAAGTTAATTTCGATCAATCCGTAATCATAAACAGGTTTTTATTGGCTAAAATCGCCTCTACATAACATGCAACAACATTTAATTAGGGCGTACATACGCAAAATTGATATATGTTGTTTAAAAACATGGTCTGACATTTTCTAATGAGACTATCTTTCTAATAAGTAGGTATTTTAATTATACAAACAATATCTCCCTATCTTTCACCTCCTTCAAGGTTATGAAATGCGCAATGTTTTGTTTTCATTAAAATACCAACTTGAACGATAGGTAGTTAAAAATTAGTGTCACTTAAAGCACTGACAGCTAAGTCATTGCTATTCAAATCTTGACAGGAGCTTGATTCGTCATTACTTTTTAACAAAAAGGGGTACCTAAGTTTAATAATTAATCTGAGCATTCGTTTTTAAAGAACATTGAGCATTCGCAATTTTTAAATTTACCTAAGGTTAGTAATAGCTACATTGTTTTTTTTATGTAATAGGTCGGCAAACGAGCATACGTATTACCTGATGGTAAGCAATCACTTCGCCCATGGACGTCCTCCGTCCTAGTGCTTTGCCGACCTTTTAGGGATTGGGAATTGGGGTGGGATCGGAGGAGGGGAAGAATTGGGCCTCCGATAACCTCACTCACACGGCGAAACACAACGCTGGGTTGTTTTACGCCAGTATTCTGTGAGGCCGTGGTATCACTCCGGTCGAACCGACCCATTCGTGCCGAAGCTTGGCTCTCCCACACTTAAAATGACCTTATGGTAAGCAATCAGCGCCGCCCATGGACACTCGTTATACCAAAGGAGTTACTACACGTGCGTTGCCGGCTTCTTGTGGATTATTGGGGATTGTATGATAGGGGATTTGAGGATTGAGGAAGGGGAGGGAACTCCGGTAACGTCAATCACACGGCGAAAAAAAAAACGTTGTTGTTTTACGTCGGTTTTCTGTGAGGTATCACTTCGGCCGAGCTGGTCCATTCGTGCCGAAGCATGGTTCTCCCACACTTACAATTCATTTGGATCCAGTAGTTCCTAGGACTAGCGAAGAAACCTCTTCAGCTTTTCATATAGCTATAGTAGAAAAAAACAGCAGCTGAATAACTAGTAAGTAATATGTTTAAATCTTTTCATGGAGTTTTGACAATATTTGATATTTCTTTTTGTATTCATAAAAAATATGTAAATACTTATAGGTAAAATTAGTTCATAAGTTATCCGGAAGGTATTAAAAGGAACGTCATTACCTATGTACGGTAAAATAATTAACTAAATATATTTTTTTAATAGTTATCTCGGCTTACATATCGTGTAAATGGCAAGGATTTTAAAGTAAAGAAACATATTTTGTAGCTTTTTTTATGTATCCATCACATCACATCACATATGTTTATTGTCCATTTCAATTGCTAAGATAACATTAAGGTCGCTTAAACTGAATAAATCTGGAACGTAGTCGTCGATTACAAAATCAAACACTACAATCCTATATATTTTGGTGGAACATTTAACAAAAAGAAGACTCACGTTGTCGAAACGACAACCAACATTATTGATTACAGTAAAACATAAATAACAAAAAAAAATAAAAAAAGAAAATCTTCTCTTGTAACGCTGTAATGGTCACATTGGTACTTTCCAAATTTCGAACACCCCGTCTTCATGTACGAGAAGCGGGCGCCTTAGCCTCCGGGCCACTACGACACAGTTATATAACTAAGCAGGTCTACTACTACCTACTGATAATACTTTTGATAAGCTTTTAATGCATGTGACATGACAAAAAAAATATTAAGTACAAACAAAAATGCGCAATCATTATTAATTTTAATAAGGTACAACGACCATTTATAAATTACCTAGACATGAATAGGCAAATGAAAATTTATCACCCGAAAACTAAAAAAACCGAATAATACTAAATTCTCTTGTCTTATAGATAAATATTACAATCATTATATTCTTATCTAACAAGTGTCAGATATAATAGACGTTTTGATATTTGAATTTAATGCCTGGTACTCAACTAACAATGTAGGACAAATATTTTGATTTCTATGACGATATTATCTGTATAGGAAGGTACTCTCGTTATGTATATGGTTTATTGTGTCTGTGTTAATTTTATCTTTTTCGGTTCAATTCATACATATTTCCTACTATCGACTAAACTTATTAAACTTAAAAAATATTGTATACTATCTATTGCCATTAGAATTTTAAATAAGGTTTGAGGTTTTACACACATTTTACATGGCTATCAGTCAAATAAGTTTTTGTTTAGACTAAACAACAAAAACTACTCTAAAGTGATTTATCAATCTTAATGATGATGACAAATTAATTGGTGTTCTAAATCAATTTGTTAAGACCACTGACGATTGACGTGCACTGATGTTTTTCGAACATCTGCGCATCGATCGATCAATCCTTACAGGTGCACCTACTGCATACAATTTTATTTAACACGGCAATTCGAAATCTCGTCTCTCATTAAGAAAGAACAAAATGGCAATTACAACAACCTTCAAGTTTTATCTAAATATGTAGTTCTACTTTTTATTATGGAATTAGCAAAACCCCCTTTTTTCTTTCTTTTGTCCTTTCTTTAACTCGGTCTAGGTCAGCTCAGTTTGTCCATAAGATTCAGTTGCATACGTAAGTAGATGTTGATCGAATATAAAGACGAGTTCTAAATTATTATTCATTCACATACCATCGGAGGTAGAAAGGTTCTAGTTAGAAATGGTTTTTCAAACTGTTAAATGTACAGTCACACATTTAGTATGTACGATCTTTGTTTAAAACGGTGACAAAAATTCGTAACTGTGTATTTTTAATTTGTGCGAAACGTGACGTATTTTCGATACTTACCAAAGCCTTATAGTACAATGTACATTGAAAAGATGCACGTCGAATCAACAAAATATCCAAATTATCCGTGAAATCGGGAGTGTTTGTTCTGAAGTTGTAAAACTGTATAGTTATAATAATTTACTAATGCTATTCTCCAGTAGTGGACTGTGCAAAATCGGTGTGCCACAAGGTCCGTTTTTAGCTCCAACTTTGGCTTTGCAAATATAAATTAGATAATTAGACTTGAGTTTAGTTTATGATACTACCAAAAAAAAAAAATAAAAAAAAATAAGATAAACTATAATTGAACTAGTAGTAAAAGTTAGCTTTACTTCAAGTAATAACAATGTTTGTAATCTTCAAACTAGGATAAGCAAGTAAGTACGCACGTAGCGCACAAATATATTAAAAAATGTTTAAATTTGAAATATCATAAATACATATATGTTATAAGCCCTTACCCACACGCTCAGTGAAACAATGTAGTTGTTTAAGTATATAGGCTTACTGCTCAAGATAACTATTTAAGCTGGTAATCTAATAGCGTCTGTGAGTGATAAATATACAATATTTTGTGTGATAACTGTGCAACCTCACATTACCATGTGAGTATGGCGTGAGTGTACATGAATCTTAAAGGAAAGAAGGACGGCTTGAGTGTTATCAACAAAAAAGTGAGAAATTAAATATTCATTATTATGTATCATTAAGTGAGTACAAGGGTCTACCAAATACATTATACTTGTAGAAGTTCACGTGAGGTGAGTGAGACAAATTCTAAAAAACAGTGTAACATAAAAAAATTAATAAAAGCACCAGTGATATTGTTTTCAGTGACAATATGGACGAAGACCTCATAGAAACAGCGATCGGACGCTTTGGAAAATATCAAACATGGATTTTGTTTTTAATAACATTGGGCAGATTTCCTGCAGAATATCAGTTAAATAATGTTGTGTTTATTATACCTTATGTGGATTACAAGTGTTTAGACAATAATGTAACCAATTACTGTCCCTGTGAGAACCCGGAATATGACACCAGTACCATTGTTAGTTCGGTGACGACAGAATGGAACCTCATATGCAACAGGACATATTTGGCAAGTTTAGCACAATCAATGCTGCAAGTTGGATTATTGGCAGGCAGCTTACTATATGGATATTTTTCTGACAGGTACTTAATTATTATTTTTCGTATTGATGGCGAGTGAAATTAGTCTCAAATTCTCAGTAAAACCATTAACATACCTAGATAATATTTCCTTAATAAAGCAAGTTTCTTAATATTCAAATATTTTTTGCCGTTTCAGATGTGGCCGAAAATCTGTGGTAGTGATATCGATATTCTCCGAAGTAGTTTTTGTTATAATCTCTGCATTCGTTCCATATTTCTGGATGTTTTTGGTCTGCCGTTTCTTGATTGGTGCTTCTCTTGGTGGAGTGATGCTGTGTTGCTACATACTACTTATTGAATTGTGTGGAAAATCATTTAGACCATACGCATCAGGCCTCTCAGAAATACCATACATCCTCTCTTATTTCGCCCTTCCCGTCAAAGCATACTTTGTGAGGGACTGGAGAAATTTACAGCTGATAACTGCAGTACCGTGGGTCATAACCATTGGGTATTTCTGGTTAATGCCCGAGTCTCCACGCTGGTTGATCACAGTAGGACGAAAGAAGGAAGCTATTGAAACTCTCACTTATATTGCCAAAAAGTAAGTCCGTCACAATCATGTGTTTTTTTTTAATCATTGCCAATAATTAATCTTATTGCGTTTCTTTTACAGAAATAACCTGCCAACAAATAACATTGGAAATATTGTTGAAAAATTGGAATTAGAAATCAAGAATCAACACAAGACTGGCAATTTTATAGATCTCTTCAGAACACCAAAAGTCAGGGCCTACACGTTAATAACAGCGTTTGTATGGATGTTTTGTTCACACACTTTCTTTGGGATCAATCAGTACATAGGCCGACTGCAAGGAAATATATACATAAATGTGCTACTGTCTGCAGCGTGTCTCACGCCTGGTTTACTAATAGTAGTATTGACTAATTTATATTTAAAAAGGAGGATAAGTGTAATATCTAGTTTCGCCACAGCTTCTTTATCTTTATTATTATTTATCGTCATCCCTAGTGATATAAGAGTAGCTACGCTAGTATTCGCAATAATAGGCTTAACAGCAGCTTATATGGCATTTGTTCAAATATATTTGTACTCATCCGAAGTATTTCCTACTGTTATAAGAAATTCTGCGATAGGTTTTGCCTCAATGTTTGCTAGGTTCGGAGGATTTATTGCTCCCTTTGTAGTTAATATTGGCATCGAATGGGTTTCTATACTTATATTTAGCGGTGTGGCCCTCGCTGCTGCAATCTTGTGTTATTTTCTTCCTGAAACTAAATCGATTACTCTTCCCAATACTATTGAACAAAGCGAGAAGAAAACAAGCCGAACGAACATGTAAATAGTTAGTTAAGTGGTTTATTATTAATTTTATTGTTCCTGAGATATTATTAATATTTTTTTAGGTAAGTTTTAAGTACCTGTTCGAATTCTATTAACATATCTATTTTAAAATTCGTATAGTGTGTAAGTACTTAGGCGTTAATTTTTTTATTGTTCTATGTTAAATCGGCATCGGTTAGATTTATAATTGTTTTAATTTTATTATTAATTACTTTAAAGTGACTTAAGTAATTGTTTACTTTTTCTTCCAATCGTATCGTTTTTGAACATATAAAGAAATTGATTTCAATTGTATTTCTATTGGCTACGTACTTAAGTCTATTAATGAAATTACACAGCAACTTTTGTATCTTCCTTATCGTTATAAGACCTTCGTATATCCTTATATCATTAAATTAATTCATTTTACTTATCAACCTAATCCTTTGCAAATAGATATGAACCAGTTGCATTAATATACACATTCCTCTGAGTGCGTGTTTTTGAATGGCCCGCCTTGCCCGTACGCACGAGTCATTGTTTTGCTACGTAATAATAGATTCTCTATCGACACAAATACGACGTTAAAGTTGAAAAAATCTTGCGATGATTCCTGCTAGGGAAATTATAAGGCCTGAAACTGCGTTAAGCGATGGTCGCCGCGTCTGGGACCTTCGAGTATATCTACATGGAGCTCACCCGCTTTCCGCGCGTGTTGACACGCAATTTCAGGCCTTACTGACTAAACCACTACGTTTTCTCCCGCTTCAAACCGGACGCCGGACATCTTTGCGTTTTAATCGCTACTTTGTGTGCCTATACAATCGAGATGTATCAATGTATAGTTCTATTGTTTCATACTTTTTATTATTTACGGTTTGCTAAACAAACGTTTCGGTACTTATAAATGTCATAGTAAATCACTAAAGGGTAGGTTCGCTATGTAAGATTAGACCTTCCATATTAATTCTAATTATCTTGTACAAATCTGGAATACCTATAACAAAATATTCTCATATATGGTTAGTTTTTGAGAAGTTCGGCTTCATTATAATAACACTATCGATTTCGTTAAGTAAAAGTGACGCCATCTATGGTTTTAAACTACAATTTTCTTTATCAAATCAATTTCAATTTCGTTTAAAATAATTATAATATATGAACTGTTAATATTATTGAGTTTTGAGACACAAATATTACAAATTGGATAGATAACTTGTATAGCTGAAGTAAGATTAAAACAATGTTACTTTGAACGTCATGGTTAGCCCCCAGATCGCGTCGCGTTTGTACTTATTTTATTTCTAAATAATAATTGTAAAGAATACAAAGTACCTAACATTTATTATGTAAAGACATTTATCAATAAGCTTATAATAATTTTATAACACATTAAGATATTTAATGCAAGAAAATAAATATGCTACCTATAGATAACAATAAGATTTATCTTTATCACAATAAGCAGCTACGTATTAATTTGGCATTAATGAGAACTCACAGTCGAATCTACGAAAAAACCTAAATTATTTTTACCTTCTAAATACTATCTAAATTAATTATTATGTTTTCGGCTTACTCACGTAACAATTTGACGAGATACTCGACTAGTTTCTAGCCATGCTAGAGGCCCATATTCATGAGCAGCATTCAGCGACACGCGACGCGTCACGTGACGAGTGTCGCGTGTCGCGGAATACTAAAATATACATATATGAAAACATAATAGATACTTTACATTTTTTCTAAGAGTTTATATTGAATATTATGGAAACCACCGAAATACCATGTAATAAATATAAACAATAAACTATGATAGATAACCCAGAATTGAAACGTGACACTATTGCATAGAGAGTAGAAAAAAAGTATATCGATAATGGTCCAGAATAAAAATCCCGCTTTTGCTGTTAAAAGGGATCTTGGAGATCGATGTGGTGGCGTCGCGTTGGTTTGTGGGTCGATGAAGTTTCCTGAAATTTTAAAACAAGTAATCTATATTAAAGTTATAAATGCGAAAGTAACCTTGTCTGTCTGTCTTTTCTTCACGTCTAAACTACTGAAACGATTTCTGTGAAATTTGATACAGATATAATTTGGAACTCGAGAAAGCACAAAGGATAGATTTTTGTACTAAAAATCTGCAGGAAGTCACCATTCCATGCGAACGGAGTTGCGGAACAACACAAAAAGTTGTTCTGTGCGGCAAACGAACTTGCGACTTGCGAGGCAGCTAATTGCCCCACCTCCGCGCCAATCGTGCAATCAATGAAAGAAATCGGCATTAAAATGACAGCTCATTAGTACCATCACAGAACAGAAAATTTATTCCGTGAGTACCATGAAATGGCTGTATTAAATATTCCTTTGAAGTATAGACGTAAGTTTATTAGAAGTTTTAGTTTTTCCAAAAAGTAACGAATTCTACATGCGAATAATAATTCTTAGCATCATAACTTACTGGCCGAGTTTCTGAACAATAACCTTCGCTAGTATGATTAAACAACAATAGGTAGTTTGGATGCAAATTATGTAAAACATAAAAATGTGTGTCAACAGCCCTTTCTCTTTTTTATTGAACAATCGAGTCACTATACCATTTTCAATTCCATTGATCCATCTATACCTATGTTAAAACTTAATTTTGTTAAAGAAAACATCAATGGATTGAAAACCCATTAGCTAAGACACAGTCTCTCATATTTTGGTTATTCGTATTCCGATCAAGGTAAGTAACTCACCATCATTGTGAAATTTTCTCAAACTTTGCTCCTTCTCTCGCCAACGGGCCTCGAGCCAAATTTTGAGTGCTGTATCGTCTTGAGGCAGTTTGTCTATCGAGTATCTGAATCAAATAATAATTTAAACTTTAATATCAGAGCTATAAAGTTTAAAATTCTTGAAGATTTACACGCTATTTTAATATGTACGAAACTTGCTACCTAGAATACAAAACCTAATCCTCATTATTGCAAAACAAGATTTAACTTTAGTATAATTTTTAAAACATTGAGTATTGAGTCACATCTTGAATTTTGAATCTTATTCCCTTCAACCTTCAATTCGAAATACAAAATTGGCTCAATGATTTAGACCCAGACTGAAGAAAATCTTCTTTCGTAATAAGGCCGAATGAGTTTATTTTTTCACCCCTTCCAGTATGAGGCAAAAGCCGCGATCGGTTTTTACTACAATTGACCCATGACATGCAAAGCAATAAAATAATTATCTTTTTAAGAAACTTGCAAAAAAAAACAGCTTGTATCTTCTTGAAAAGTTCAAGTTAATTATGTGAGTAGTTAGTCACATTATCAAACCAACTAAATAATGTATCAAAGAATCTTTGTAACACTGATTTAAAAAGAGTAACCATGGAGTTTCTTGCTCATTCTTCTCCATCGGAATCTACACTTTGGAACGAGCAAATAGCTTCACTAAGAGGACTGACCGGCAGACAGACACTTTATATCTTTAAAATTTTGTTTGACGTTCAAAAGTGCCTGTATGGGTCTAATTGAATTAAGTGATTTTGACTTTGACTTTGTAAAGAAATATGGAATCCACTGAACAAACCTTTTGAAATAAAAGTACACATTTTTCGGTATTTTCCCTCGAACCAAGTCCATCTCAGTCTGAGCTGGAGTGTCGTAAGCCACTGTGACGTCATATACTGCGGCTAGGCCTGACTCTCGCAGCCGGGAACATAATGCAACCCATCCAGTAGTTCGTGGATGTAAAACATATTCATAACGCTGTAAAAATATAATAAAATGTTAGTAATTTGAGCACTTTTACCATTTCTTTTATGAACAAACACAATAATATTTCGAACTACCGTAAGTTCGGGTTACATTGACCCTGGGGGTATTTTTTAATACAAACCTCTTTACCAATGATTTTACGATATACGATATACGAGCTTTATTTAAGAATTTTTCATTGGTATGGAAGTTTGGATCAAAGTTACCCCAGGGTCAAAGTAATCCGAGCTAGTGAGTTCGACCGTACGACAATTTTTGACAATGACCGTTCGAACAATTTTAAATTTAGAAGTGCTCACAACAGATGTGTGTTTACTTGATTTAACTTTTACATTATAATTGTTATGTAACCCTATTTTACAACTAAATATGTGCCACTAAAGTGTAGGTTTTGGTCTATTGACCGGTTAGTACAACATTCAATTTTACTAAAAACTTATTGCGCTAATAAGACATGAACGAAACCCACACTTTCAAACACAAGCCAAAACAATACTTAAGTATATTTTTTTCTAGATAAAATTTCAATTCCTGTGAATCAGAACAGTCAAAAAAACAGCTAACTGGTCGTCTAACTTATTATTAGAAACAAGAATCTAATGACTCCAATACTAATTGTTACTGTCCATAAACAGTATCTATTGCAAAGCTCATACTTGTATAATTTGTAATGTTCTACTTTGCTTTTCCTACGACCGTCGTCAAACTTGTCATTTATAGTAAATTGTGCCGATAAAGTATGCGCAATTATTATGTAACAAAATGAACATAACTGTAATAATGTGTACCGTATATAATCATAGTAACGGGTTTAATGTAAACACAATAATTCTTAAAAAAACATATTACGCATTAATTATTTGCAATGAGAAAGCGTTTGTCAATCTCTTGGTGGTGAGTGATGATGCGCCTTATACTGGAGCACGCCTTCGCCTGCCCATAAGCAAACTTGACAAATTCAAAAACAAATTCACTCGGCCTTGAAGACACCTTCTTCGGGGAACACTTAATAAATATGTTCTACATATCTTAAGAAATGCAAAAAACTATATTCCTCAATTCATTTTGTTGAAATGAACGTTAAAAAATACAAATTTGACACCTAAGTAAAAGCGACAAGCATTATACTAAACCAAAACACTTATTTATGAGAGTCTCAATCTCAATGAAAACGATGAATAACAAGTTTTATTAATAATAGATGTTCTATGCATTCAATTTAAATAATCATTTGGCTCTATGGACGTAATGGTTGATGAATATTACAAATCTAGCACAAGTCAACCGTTGAACCTTGACAAAGACAGTGGACATCCAGCGAACCGGAAAGATGATCTTCATTGAAACCGAGGTTTACTAGTTCCAGCAGCTTTAATAGGCAGTCATGGTCAACACAAACGGTCAAATAGAGATAAAATGTAAATACCTGCATGTTATTAGCGTGCGCATATTTATCACTACGACGCCGGTTCTCCTCACTCAAGTCCGTTCCTTCGGGGAACAGAACTAATCTATAGTCATAATGCAACTTCTGATAGTAATCCACAAATTGTGAAAGGTTTATTTGATCCTCACGCCAATTTCTCTTCACGTAGAGGAAGAAGTTTAATTGCATAATCCAACCTGAAAGACAACTTCTTATTTATTGAGGCTTTTTTTTTGTTTCTCAGAAATTAGCGTTACATATTATTATAAGAAAGAGTGTCGAACCTATAATGGTTCTATGGCGTTATAAAAAAATATTTCACAATTTGCAACAAACATACCCATTCCAGGGATATTTTTGATTTCGTCCTTTAAAACAAATTTTATTTTTGATTTGCCTCCAAGATCCAGTACGCTGTTAGATTCACTGAGATTTTGAACAGTCTGTTTACACGAGCACAATTCGCCAGAAGGATTTTGTGTTGCATGATACAAAGCTATCCAAACATAATTCCAATCAACCCTTGTGCGGTGATTCATAACAATTATAGTCTTTTCATCTGGTTTCACAAAATCACCAAAGTGATGCAACTGAGTATCACAGCAACATTGAAACAGCGCCTGAAAATATACACATAACAAATTAAAACTTTAAGGCATTGTGTCATATGTCAATTGAATGTTTTGTAGGCGAACATCTTACCACAGGATATAGTTCCCACAACGAAAATAATGAATCAACTAACTTTCTATATAATTTGTGACTAAAAAACATCAGGTACATAACAGGACAGTACAGAATGAAGAATCCTGAAATTAAAATAGATTTAAACTAAACTTTATATTTTAAAGATGGATGAACAACAGGATTTTGCCCTAAGTAAAACGTACCAGCAAGAATGGTGTAATACCAAGCAATGCAGAGCAGTAAGCCCACCGCCATGGTTCTACGACCCGCCGGCTTGCACTGGCGTGCCTAAGAAGCCTTGTCGATGCCGATGTCAGCATTGTTAGATTAGAACCCCTACGTGGCCCACTAAGCCTTGTTACATGACACCTTACCGTAGGTGGTGTTTTTGTTATCAGATTCTATTAAACTAGGTTATTTCACAACTTTCTTGTAAAATCTGGATCAAACTTCGCTTTCTTCAAAATTTAGACTATTATCTGATCTTGATATTTGAATTTTTCTTCCTAAATTCTCTGCTTCTTCCAATGTCACCAACAATTCACAATCTTTTGTTTCTGGCAATAATAATAAACAAAGAAATGCCGATATCATTGGAAAAATACCAAATGCTACCGGTGAACACCATTTGCCATAGATGTGTAAGCTAGCGGCGAATGGCGCAATCATAG